TTTTGGTGGGATCAATTGTTGTTGGGGGGATCTACTGTTGAGGATGAGATCTATTGTTTCTGGGGGTCAGTTGTTGCTGGGGGGATCTACTGTTGAGGGAGGAGTCTATTGTTGATGGCTGCTGGAGGGTCTATTGATGCTGGTTGCTGTTAGATCTATTCTTACTGCTGGGGTCTTATGTTGCCGGGTCTATTGTTTCTGGCTGCAGGGGATCTATTTTACAGCTGTGTTCTCTAAAAGGGGACACACAGAAAACACTGTGTGCTCGCCGCCTTTACTGGGCACTCCTGAGTGATCTGGAACACGCGAACAGTAAGGGCATTTGGTAGGCTGTTTGTCAGCCGCACCCCACAATGCACTGTGCTCTCACAGTGTATTGTAATTGGCCAAAGCAATGCACCTGATCAAAGGTCAGGTGCAATGCTTTGGCCAATCACAGCACAATTTGGCGGAGCTAGCGGTGATGTCACCTCTAGCTCCACTCAATTGTTTACATCTGACTGGCAAATGTCAGATTGCGATTTTTTTAAATAAAGGACTTGTCAAATGGGGGTAGAGGTACAAATACCCCTTACTCATTTACAAGGGGCGGCAGCATCAGGGTGCACCCCTAATTAAAGAGGTACCTTGATGCTAATGAGCTCCCCTGCCCTCAGACCCCCCCACAACCACCAGGCCAGGGTTGTGGGGAAGAGGCCCTTGTCCCATGTCCCCATTGCATGGGGACATCATCCCAATGCCGAGGGCATGTGGTCTGGTAAGCCACAGGTAGGGGGGCCGATTGTTCATCCCCCTCCTTTCCTCGCCTGCCAGGCCTGTGCTCAGGTAAAGGGTCTAGTAGAAATTTAGGGGGGACCCCACACTTTTTTTCCCTCCATTTTTAGGGGATGGGGTTCCCCTTAAAAGTGCTACCAGGCCGAGAGGGCCTTGTATGGCTTTTAGGAGGAACCTCACACACTTTTTCCCCCTATTTTTGGAGGTGGGGTTCCCCTTAAAAGTCCTAGCAGGCATCAAAGGCCTGGTATGGCTTTTAGGAGGAACGCCACACACTTTTTACAAAAGTTTTTTTTTACAGCGGGGTCCCTGCTAACCGTCATACCAGACCTAAAGGGTCTGGTGAGGATTGGGGGATCCCCACACTGTATTTTTTTTTTTTTTGTTTAAAAATATAATTAAAAAAAAAATGTTAGTTCTGCTGCAGCAGGTTCTATACATTGTACAGATGTGCAGGTAGTTTAAGGGAACCCCCCAGGCATGATTTTTAAAGGAACTTTTCTTTTTTTTTTTACCTTAAGCAATGAAAAATGACTGCCCCTTTAAAAATGGTACTTTTTGAATTTTTTTTTGTCACTGATTCATGTCCCTTCAGGGCAGTACCTGAGTTCCCATACCTCTTTTATGGCCATTACCTTTCATATAAGTCTTCAAAATGGGCACTTTTGAATTTACAAGTTTAAGTCCCATAGACTTGCATTGAGTTCAAAGTTTGTGGTCGAACATTCATTAGGATCTAATGTTTGACCGTGAACCGAACACAGGGTTGTTCAGGCCATCACTACCCAGGACCACGGCTGCTTGGATCCATGGTGCACTGAGAGGGGAGGAAGGTACAGTACATCTGTACCCACTTCCCCTCTGTAAGAAACCAGTAGCTATAAAGAAATTGTCGCTTTTGGCTTGATGTTTACCAGCTGTTACCGAATTGTAAAGCATCTGATCACACTGATTTTGATTTGATCTGATGCTTTTGAGGGCAGAGGAAAGATCTGGGGTCTAATAGACCACTTCTCTCCATAAGGAGCACCTGTTATGGCTCATTACAAGAATTGTGATAGCAATAAAGTTGATTAAAAAAAAAATGCAAATGGACAATTTAAAAAATGTTTTAAATAAAATACATAATAAAATTTAAAAAAGAAAGATTTAAAGCACCCCTGTCACTACATATTAAAGCAAAAAAGTGAACGCATATGTAGGCCTTGCACAAATGTAAACAGCGATCACATCACGCATGTGAGGTATCACCGCCATCGTCAGAGCGAGAGCAATAATTCTATGCACTGACTCTCTACAAAACTTAGGACAAGTGCTGTGTGTTGTTTCAACTCCATCCTAAATTGTCTCACTGGTATGCACTGACACTCTGCAAACTCACGATACTTAGTCTATACCTTTTGTCTGCTTGTGGTGATTGATTCTCACCTCTTTTTTGCCTCTCTGTCATGTAAGAATCAATCATCTTTTATGACTTTGGCCTGTGTCTGTAGCTGGTCTGGTTTTGACTAACACCCCCACCCCATTTATGTGTTCCTTATCAGTCCCTAATTAGGGTGGGAAAGGATTCTTCATTTGATCATCTCCCTATAAATTTAAACCAGCTTATGGGGGAGATCACAGACAGGGTACAGTCACAGATGGGGCATTTTCTGCTGGAGTGCAATGCAGCAGTTGAACACAGCAGCAGGAAGATACAACAAAGAACTCTACTGCACTCTGGATGGACTGCAAGCAAACACCCTGGGAAACATCTACAAATCTGATTCCCACTCCATGTACCTTTTAATATGCCCCCCCTCTACTCCTTTTCGTAATAGTATCCCGTGTTCCCAAAAATCTAATTTCTTACCCCACTGCTCTACCCCAAAGTTTAAACCTATCGCCCTCACTTCTACCATCTCCCTACTACTGCTCTCATCACCTCCTGCTAATATTTTACTCACCCGCTGACCCAAACACCAGGACATGAAGACGTGCAATCATTTACATCCCACTCCCACCTTCCTTTACTCACCCTCCTTCTACTCCTAACCTCTGGGGATATCTCCCTGAACCCTGTCTCCAGTACCTCACCCCCACATCAGGCACCCTCCTTCCTCCAGCAATAGCCACAATCCACTCAATTTAATCTCAATCCCCATGCTCCTAAAAACCACCCTTACTGTTTTATGTGCACTCTGGAATGCCTACTCTGTCTGTAATAAGCTCACCTCCATCCATGACCTTTTTGTCTCCCGCTCCCTTAACCTACTAGCAATTACAGAAACCTGGCTTCAAGCAGCAGATTCTGCTTCTCCCGCAGCACTTTCCTATGGAGGCCTCCTCTGGACCCACTCACCCAGACCCAGTGGTTGGAAAGGAGGTGGAGTTGGTTTGCTTCTATCCCTACTGAGCACCTTTCAAGTCCTCCCCCTCCCCCTCTATCCTTCTCTTCTATTGAGACCCACTGCATTTGGCTGTTTTCTCCTATTTCTCTGAGGATTGCAGTGATCTATCGGCCTCCTGGACCAGTGTCATGCTTTCTTGATGATTCTCTGCCTGGCTACCCTACTTGCTCTCCTGTGAAATACCCACTATCATTCTCTGGAGATTTTAACATCCCCATTAATGTGAACACCCAGCTACATCCCAACTCTTCAACCTAACCTCATCTTTTGCCCTAACACAATGGACACAGTCCTCCACTCACTCTGATGGGAATACCCTAGACCTTTTTTATCATCTTTGCACTCCCTACAACCTCACCAACACCCACTTTCCTCTCTCTGATCAGTCTCATCACCTTCACAGTGTCCTTGTCTTCAAACACCTATCCCCCCAAGCAGCAAACAATCACCCCCAGAAACCTTTACATCTTTTACCCTTCTCTTTTCTACTCTGCAACTGACAACTTCTATGACAGAATCTCTCCCCGTCCTGTCCTGACCTGGCCATTTCTTTCTACAACAGTTCACTTTCTTCCACACTAGACTCACTTGCTCCTCTAACTACACAAAATATCAGGCCCTGACCATTACAACCTTGGCAGACTGACAACAGCAGAAATCTTGCACTGGAGCAATTGTGGTGTAAAACTAAATCTCACCAAGCATTCACCCTATATAAATCTGCTGTCTTAAAATACAATTCCTCCCTCCATGCTGTCAAACAAGCCTACTTTGTCACTCTTATTAACACCTTGTCATCCAGTCCTCGTCATCTCTTCTCTACTATTAACTATCTACTTTCTCCACCTCCACCCAGCAACTCACTCACTGCTTACGAGATTGCCAATTATTTCAAATACAAGATTGATGCAATTCGTGAGGCCATCTCTACTGCACAGACATCCATCCCACTTAGCATACCTTATACTAAACCTCCCTCAACACTTTCCTCTTTTGACCTTGCTACTACCAAAGAGGTCACTAAAGTTTTCTCAGAAGCCCATCTCACCACCTGCCCCCTGGATCCTGTCCCCTCACAACTACTACGGTCACCCTCTTCTTCTATCCTATGCTCCCTCACTCACATCTTCAATATCTCCATCTCTACTGGCACCTTCCCCTCCTCTCTAAAGCATGCACAGATCACTCCCATACTTAAAGAGCCCTCAGTGGACCCCAGCAGGGATCTCCCTGCTCCCATTTACCTCTAAACTCTTAGAACGCTTAGTCTACAATTGCCTGAGCTCCTACCTCACTGACAACAACCTTCTTGACCCTCTACAGTCTGGCTTTCACTCACTCTACTCCACTGAAACTGCCCTACTAAAACTCACGAATGATCTACTAACTGCTAAAACCAATGGCCGCTACTGCATACTCTTACTACTTGACTTGGCCACTAAAATGTAACTTTTTCCTGAAAATGTGCAGTTTGGAAATGGCTGCGCAAATAGATGCAACACCAAAAATTGCAACAACCACCATTTTATTCCGCCTTCAAAATATATATAATGCTTTGGGGGTTCTGAGTCATTTTCTAGCAAAAAAAATGGAATTGTTTACATTTATGTAAGAAGTGTCAATATTGGTCCAGCAGGGCAAGTGGTTAAAGACAGGGGCGAACTGACCATTTGGAAACTCGGGCACCTGCCCGAGGGCCCGTAAGGGGCCCCATGAGATGCCCCTGGTACCTTTTTCATAGGTTTTGAGTTTGGGCAAGGACACAGGGGCCCCATGATCCCCTATTGCCCGGGGCCCCATGAGTTGTCAGTCCGCCCCTGGTTGAAGATGCTGGACGTGCCATCAGGGACATTATTGTACTTCTTATTCAGCACAGCGATCATTCCAGCTCAATTCTATACGACACAGGGCGGGTGTGGACACCTCATACGGCCATCCCCAGTGTTGGATTCGGGATCAGTACACACTAATAATCAGAATGAACCCCCCGCCGCGCACGTGTCCTCCCGCAGTCCCGCCGGCATCCTATCGCATGCTGCTGTGCCTAAAGCTCCGCCCCCCCAATGTTTACTACGGTTGCCAGGCATCCTGATTCCACAGTGCGCAGGCGCTGCCCCCGTCTCCATGGTGATCTGTAACAAGCGGCGGTTGCCCGGTGTTGTGGAATAGAACGTGTGATCCCGGCGCGGTGCCTGTGTGTGCTCAGCCCGTTGTGTGTGGTAAGTCCTAGGATACTGATATAGAAATCATATCTGCGCTGTCTGTGTGCGGTGTCATCATTTCATCCCTCTACAGCTGTGTGTATGGGGCTGTGCAGCATAGGAGGAACTACAAGTCCCAGCAGGGCCCAACAACCAGCCCTGGCGGCACATATTCGGGGTTGTAGTGTTCATCATCTCTAGAGACCTTTTCCAAAACAACGTGGAGTATGACTGAGAGGTTCGAGCCTCTGTCAGGTTTTTCTTCCTGCCCCTGTTTACTGTCACTTGCCTACCTGGCACTTATACCCCCTTCCTGCTCAGCTCTTGGTGCTGACGCACTTTGAATGACAATTGCACAGTCATGCAACACTGTATCCATATGAAATTTTTATCATTTTTTTCACACATAGAGCTTTCCTTTGGTGGTATTTACTTGCCGCTGGGTGTTTTATTGTTTGTGCTATAAAAAAAAAAGCCAAAAATTTGAACAAAAAAAGTTTTTGTTTCTGTTATAAAATTTTGCAAACAGGTAATTTTTCTCCTTCACTGATGTGCATTGATGAGGCTGCACTGATAGGCGGTACTGATGGGCACTAATAGGCGGCACTGATGAGGTGGCACGGATAGACAGAACTGATGGGCACTGATAGGCGGCACTGATGAGCTGGCACTGATATGCAGCAATGATGGGCACTGATAGGCAGCACTGATGTGCACTGATAGGCAGCACTGATGCTGCTGCACTGATATGCAGCAATGATGAGCACTGATAGGCGGCACTGATGAGCTGGCACTGATGCTGCTGCACTGATATGCAGCACTGATGGGCACTGATAGGCAGCACTGATGGGCACTGATAGGCAGCACTGATGGGCACTAATAGGTGGCACTGTTAGGAGGCACTGATGGGCACTAATAGACGGCACTGATAGGCGGCACTGATGAGGTGGCACGGATAGACCGAACTGATGGGCACTGATAGGCGGCACTGATGGGCACTGATAGGCAGCACTGATGGGCACTGATAGGCGGCACTGATGAGCTGGCACTGATGCTGCTGCACTGATATGCAGCACTGATGGGCACTGATAGGCAGCACTGATGGGCACTGATAGGCAGCACTGATGGGCACTAATAGGTGGCACTGTTAGGCGGCACTGATGGGCACTAATAGACGGCACTGATAGGCGGCACTGATGAGGTGGCACGGATAGACCGAAACTGATGGGCACTGATAGGCGGCACTGATGGGCACTGATAGGCAGCACTGATGGGCACTGATAGGCGGCACTGATGAGCTGGCACTGATGCTGCTGCACTAATATGCAGCAATGATGGGCACTGATAGGAGGTACTGATGGGCACTGATAGGCAGCACTGATGGGCACTGATAGGCGGCATTGATGGGCAGCACTGATGGGCACTGACTGGTGGCACTACTGGGTGGCACTGGTGGGTGGCACTGCTGGGCACAGGAGGGTGGCACTGCTAGGCACTGATGAGCACAGATGGGTGGCACTGATGGGCACAGGTGAGTGACACTGCTTGGCACTTGTGGGTGGCACTGCTGCGCACAGGTTGGTGGCACTGCTGGGCACTGATCATCAGAGTACTAATCATCAGTGCCGATCTGTTTTCTGGCAATTGCTGGTTATTGGCAGTACTTTCCTCACGCTGTGACAGCATGAGGCCAACTGGCAACTGCATTTACTGGTGATCTGCTGTGTCATTGGACACAGTTGATCACGTGGTAAAAGGCTGCTGTGATTGGCCTTTTACCACATCACGTGATCGACTGTGTCTGTAGGACACAGCGAACACAGAGATCTCCAGGTGCATGCTGCTGGGGGCACGCAGGAGGGCGTGTTCTGGGAGGACGTCATATGACACCCTCCCAGAACTGGACAACCGCGCTGTAGCCGTCATTCTGCTATAGCCCGGTTGTCAAGTGGTTAAGGGCCGGTTCACACTATAGAAACGCAGACATTGACAACCATATAACCTACTTTCTGTGTGTTTTAGATGCAGAAAAAAAGCAACTGAAACGCATTAATTGCGAACTGGCCCTAAGGGCTATTTCACTCTAGATGCAGTTCAGTGCGCTTTTTTTCTGAAGCAAAAATGCATGTGCAGTATTTTCCATGTATTCCAATGGCGCTGGTTCACACTAGTGCAGTCAGTTCCAGTCAGTTTCCGGTGCAGAAAAAAAGTAGAACATGCTGCATTTTTTTTCGGCACAAAACCATACTGGAACATGACAAACTGCATCAAAACTGCATCAGAATTGTGAGTGGTGTGATCTGTAAGCAAAAAAACGTATCTGGAGTGCATCCGGAGAGCATTTTTGTAGCCAGGTTCACACCCATGCTTTTTTAGTGCATATTGGAGAAATGCACTACAGTCCATTTCCCATGATTTCCTATGGGACACGTTCACATCAATGTGTTTTCAGCCACTGTGTTTTTTGGAAAGGGCCAGGGACTTTTATTTTCCCATGGCAGATTGTGTTTTTGGTGCAATAGACTTCAATGGAACTGCAATAAAAATACAAGTGTTGCGGTTTTTATGCTTTTTGAGCTTTCTTTTTTTGGCCAATATATAGTATTGAGTGTGACTTTGAAGCAACTTTACACTCTCTGGCACTCAACTCCCATCAAAGTCACATCAAAGTAGTGCAGAAACATTTTTAACCCCCCTGGCGGTATTCCCGAGTGTAGCTCGGGGTAAAGTTTCAGTACCACAAGTGGTAACCCCGAGCTACACTCGGACTTACCATGCGGCACTGCTCCGCGATCCCTCAATCGCTTACTTTGTCCTGCGCTCCTGCGATGTCCCTCCTGCAGTGTCCCCGGCAATGTAATCCGGCGGATGCCTGCATCTGTCATCTGGGTTCCGTCCTCTGCGAGCGTCGCGACGTACGGGGACAGAACGGCGGGAAATTTGAAAATGACAAAAAGTGACATTCACTAAAATCACTAAAATCTGATAGTATTACATTACTGTATCAAACCATTTCACATACATTTTGTCCCGAGTGCTTTGTCCTGTGTCCTGCCTGCATTTTTACTGTTCTTTTCTGCCTGGAAACTGAGAAATGTCCATGGCGTCCAAAAAGCGTCCCTTTAGGTCAAAAGCGGTTTTAGACCGGCTAGAGAACAGCGATAGTAAATCAGAACCACTTGCAGAATTGAGTGATAATGATTTGTGGGGAAATTCGTTATCAGACACTGAAAACGATTTGCGACTGAACTCAGCGATGTGCGAACTTGGCGCTATATTTCAAATTTCAGTGTTTTTGGTTTGATTATATTATTGAATTAAATGTATTATTATTTTTTATGAATATTTATTAAATTATAATTTATGATTTCGTGTTTCAAATTGTAACATACCCGGGATTTTACTAGACTCTTGTACAGACAGATTTCAGTGAGTTATTCCTAAAAATGACAGGCCTACAATAAAAAAACTACATGTTTCCATGCAAAAAAATGTACTGCTTTGAGCACATAAATATGGACATAATCAGACCGCTAGGGAGGTTAAAGATCCTGTGACTTTAAGTTGCATAGTTTGAAGGAGTTCCATTATCACCAATCAGCTGCAACTTTTCATGTGACTTTGTCCAAGTTAGGGTTGAGGGCTAGCGTTAGTGGTAAATGTTAGGTTCACATTAAATGTTAGGGTTTGTGTTGTAATCCTAACATTTAACACTGACCCTAGCCCTTAACTCTAACCCTTAATCCTAACATTTACCCCTAACCCTAACCTTTACCATAGCCCCAACCCTTAACCCTAACATTTACCTTAGCCCCAACCCTTAACCCTAACATTTACCTTAGCCCCAACCCTTAACCCTAACCCTTAAAGCTAACATTTAACATTAACCCTTACCCTAGCCCTTATCCCTTACCCTTAACCCTATCTTTTAGCACTAACCCTTATCTTAGCCCTTAACCCTAACATTTAACACTATCCCTTACCCTAACCCTTAACATTGAACACCAACCCTTATCCTAACCTAGCCCTTAACCATAACATTTAACACTAACCCTTACCCTGGCCCTTAACCCTAACATTTGAAAATGAAACCTTACCCTAACTCTTAACCCTAACATTTAACACTATCCCTTACCCTAGCCCCTAACCATTAACCCTAACATTTAATACTAACCCTTACCCTAACCCTTAACCCTTACCCTAGCTCTTAACCCTAACATGTAACACTAACCCTTACCCCCAGCCCTTAACTCTAACATTTAAAACTAACCCTTACCCTTAACCCTAACTCTTAATCCTAACATTTAACCCTAACCCTTGTCCTAGTCCTTAATGTTAACCCTAACCTTTAAATCTAACCCTTAACCCTAACATTTAGCACTAACGCTTACCCTAGCCCTTAACAATAACACTAGCCCTTACCCTAGCCCTTAACCTTAACTCTTAACACTAACATTTAACTCTAACCCTTTACCCTAACATGTAAACCTAACCCTAACACTAGCCCTTAATTCTAACACTAACCCTTACACTAGCTGTTAAACCTAACATGTAACACTAACCATTACCCTAACCCTTACCCCTAACATTTTACACTAACCCTTACCCTAGGCCTTAACCTTAACATGTAACACTTACCCTAACCCTTAACCCTAACATTTAACATTAACCCTTTCCCTGGCACCTAACAC